ATTTATTTTAATTTAAAGCTGAAACATCAGCCAAAAACGTTTTTACTTTGGATATGGTGGACAAGAATGACATTTTCTGCCAGCCTTTTATCTCAAGAGACAGACCTGATGGAGGATCCAATATTGCACAAGCCTAAAAACTATTTTGGCTGGGGGTGACCATATGTTGTATTCATTATTGTAAATATAACTATTTAAATTGGATACGATGATAAAATTATATATAATTTGTTTTTTTTTTTCCATTTATAAAACCTTATTTTTGTCACAGGGTAGTTCTTAAAGTGGAACTTCACTCTCTTAATCAACATGGACTATTTGTAATCCTTGTGCTGCTAGCATTCATAAATCGATAGGAACATATATCATATTTACTTATTTTAAACGTGTTGTGTGTGTTTTTTTTTACTTTACTACACATTTCTTCAGTTACTTTCTCTTTTACTTGGCCAATGAAGTCAAACATCCCGGGAGTGTTCAGGAGGGGAGTGAGGTTTCTCAGCTCAGCCTATACCTGAGCTAAGGGCAGATGGATTCCAGGAAGTGAATGATACATGAATCATCTGGTCTTGCGCAAGATGTCCACAGCAAAACCAGGCGTATTTTTTAAAATGATTTCTCAGCCAAAAACATGGAGATATGGATAGATGGGAGAGTTTGCTTTGAATATTAAAAATGAATTAAATAGCATGGGTGGTGCTTAGGTGCAATGTAGTTCCACTTTAACGACACTGAAGAATGAGCTGGGTTTTCTAAACAAAAAAAAAGCCAGCACTGACTCTGCCTACTGAAATAAAAAAAAAGTTGTAATTTGCTAGGTGAGAAGGAGGGGAGTGTATCCCTTTTTCACTGAGTAATTTAGTGTCTAAAATGAATCTACTACTGTTCAGGTCATGTGTTTTTGTTTTGTGTTTTTTTTTCTCTCTGAGATCAGCATTGAGCACACTGCTGGCTGCACATGGATAAGATGAGATATGTATATGAAGTACAAAACTCTAGTTTAAATAGGATGTGCTATAAACACAATATTTTATACCGGGGTGAGGTACTGACATCAGCCAAAGCAGGTGCATCTTAGCTGCTGGGACACTTCCCCCCAACTTGGAAAGGGAGGGGAAAAAAAAAAAGCTGGCAATACTAGTGGTTTTTTTTTTTTTTTTTTTTTTTTAAAGCTGAAGTTTATACTGCTCTCATTGTGCCTTCTCTGGTTTCTCCTTTTAACCCCTCATCAGCCTGCTAGTGACATTTTTATTGCATAACCTATTTTAGACACTGTAGTGTCATTAATTTGTCTTTGTGCTTCTCTATGCAATGCAGGCAGTTCATGGCTGCTGGGATTGGTTCGACATAGCTTTCTGAAAACCTCACAGCACCATGCCTCAAGAGCCTTTGCTATGATGCAAGCAGTGGGCTGGCTCTTGGGAGGGTTATGATGGACGTGTTAGGCTACTTTTACACTGAGCTGCTGCAAAAACACATAGGCATTTTTACCGTGCCTCTTTTTTTTTTTTTTTGACACATGACTTAAAAATCACCAAAACCGCTTCGCAGAGGTGGATTTCAGGAGTTTTCCATTGATTTCAATGGGAAGAGGTGTTTTTTTTTTTTTTTCTTTTCACCAAATCTGTCCCAAAGATGCTGCAAGCAGGAGTTTTTACACTGGACTGCAAGCCCAATGCCTCAGTGTGAAAACATACATAGATATACATTCACATAGATGGGGAAGTATTTTTCTTGAGCTTTTCAGGCACTTTTTTTTAACGCAAAAATGATTCAAAAACTCCGTGAGAAAGCAGCCTTAATGTCAGTCTGGAGGAGAGGATGGTCCTAGGCAGGCTGTATAGGCTTGCAGACACCCACAACTAATCCATGATTGAAAGAACTGAAATTCATTGAATAAAAGTGGCACAGCAGGTCAGGCTGCAGGCAAAAAGAGCTGGATGTCTTGCAGTGAGGAAATGAGGTGGGTTCTATCTGATTTACTGCAGCTAAAAATGTACACAGGGAAGTTCACTATGCTGTGAAATCAAACTAAGAAAAGTCAGCATAGGAGAGGATCCTGTACAACTGCGAGAAAGGCTGAGTTAACCGCTTTCCCGTCACCCTATAGCAGATATACTGCTACAGGGTGTCAGGGTGTGCGCAAAACCACGCGTGTATGTGTGTGTAACGGAGGGTAAGCGGGACAGAACACACAAGGCAGGCGGCAAACACTTAAAGATTTATTAAAACAGACAACAGTCACTCAATGGGGAGTAGTGCAGGGAGATAGTCCAAAATATTTGTAATCCAGCCCCGGTGGGCAAAGTTAAAGTCTTTACAGCAATTTGTAATCCAAGAGGCAGTTCATAAGCAGTCAGATAGCACAAGGGGAGCATACAATCACGCAAAGCTGATGCGATAGTCTCAGGCAGAGATGACAGCGTTCCAGGCAGGGCTGATGTAGACTCTGGGATCCCCCTTCCTCCAATGTAGCTCAGGCAGAGCCGGGGGGCCACTAGAGTCCAGCTGGACCTCTCAGTGGTTGCCCAGCAGAATGGCACCCCAAGAGAGACCAGCACTGGCCTTTTAAACCCCCTGAGCAGGAAGAGAGGCGGAGGGGGGTCATTAGCAGGTGACCATGAAGAGAATAGAACTTCAGTAATTTAATTACTGTAAACAGAAAAGACTGGGTGGACAGGATAATTAGTGGGGGGGGAAATACATTAATAAAAAAGTAAGGCACTAATTAGGGATGTATATACTAATTGAATGTGGGACCTTTTGTGGAGGGGTGAGGTAATTACAGCTAGGGGCCTTTCGCACACAGGAGTCGAATACTAATTGGAGGAAGGAGGGCCAGGAGGGATTAATAAAGGAATTAATAATTAATAACTGGGCTGGCAGAGAACTCATACCGTGACACTCCGGATCAGTAAGCAGGAATTGATAATTGGCCGGGCCCCTATACCGTGACAGTGTGTGTGTATGTATATATGTATATGTGTGTGTGTGTGTGTGTGTATGTATGTATGTGTATATATATATATATATATATATATATATATATATATATATATATATATAGTGTGATTTTGCATTCCCATGGCCTTGGCTATCAATCACCAGGTCCGGGCTGATGCTTGCTCGCCGGCACCCAGTAATCGAGGAGCATTACCGACTGAGGGAGAGAAGTGTATGTAAACAATACATTTCTCCCCCCTGTCAGCTCCTGCACACTGCTTTGCATGGCTCTGTATAGCAGAGCCATGCAAAGCAGTGTGCTTACGGTTGAAAGCACTAACACAGCAAATGGTAAAAAACAGCACACAGTTAACCCTTTGATTGCCCCACATGTTAACCCATTCCTGCCCAGTGCCATTAACAGTGTAAGTGCTTTTTATTAGCACTGATCACTATTGGTGTCACTGGGGATGTCAGAGACACCAAGTAAGTTCCACCCAGTGTCAGAATGTCTGCTGCAGTCCCGCTATAAGTCACTGATCACCGCCATTACTAGTAAAAAATACAAATCCCAGTATACATACCACCATTTGTAAACGCTATAACTTTCACGTAAACCAATTAATTTACACATACAGGCATACTTTGGTTTACGAACACCTCGATTAATGTAATGTTTGGTTTACGAATGAAAATCCATTGAAAATAATGCCTCGGTTTACAAATTGTTTTTGCAATATGAATGGATTAATTGGTTTTCAATGCATTTATGATTTTTTTTTTAATCATGTCCCTTTATGCCTTTAAAGTGCACTCTTATAAAGAGTTTTGAACAGAAAACGTTCACATTTTTCTGACCTCAGGAACGGATTAATTGGTTTTCAATGCATTCCTAAGAGAAACTGTGTATACAATACAAATGCAATACAAAAAATCCCACAGAATGCATTAAATTCGTAAAACTGAGGCATGCCTGTATTGGTCTAAATGTATAACAAAATTAGATTTTAAAAAAAAAAAATTTTACTGGACATGTTTAATAACAAAAAGTCAAATATTTTTTTTTCCCCTTTAAAATTGACGGTCTATTTTTATAGCGCAAAAAATAAACACACAGGTGATCAAATACCACCACAAGCTAGCTCTATTCGTGGGGAAAAAAAGGACATAAATTTCATTTGGGTGCAGCATTGCATGACTGCAAAATTGTCAGTTAAAGTAACGCAGCGTGGTAACGCAAAAAATAGCCTTGTCCGGAAGGGGGGGGGGGGGTAAATCCTCTGGAGGGCAAGTGGTTAAAAGAGCTGTTTATTAATGATCTATAGGTTGGAATTAAGAGCTCAAATTCAGAGTCTGCTTGTGATACCAAATTACATAGGGAAATATATTTGGCACAGGATATAGGCAGCTACATGCCAAATGAGGCTCAATAGTGAGAAATGTAAATTTAATGACTTGGTTGCCAACATGCACATTAGGAAAGGCTCCCTTGGGAGAATTAGTGATGGAAAAGGATGTGGGGGTGCTCATGGAACACAGACTTGGCAACAACATGCAATGCCAAGACGCAGCTAACAATCTCATGGAAAAAGAAAAAAAAAAGCATACATTCCAGAGATAAATCAATAATTCTACCTCTTTACAAAACACGGGTTTGGCCTAGTCTTGAATATGCAGTTCAGTTTGGTCACCAATCCTCAGGGAAGACATTGGTGAATTAGAGTTCAGCAAAGGGCAAAAAAATTAACCACAAGCCAACCGGGCACTTATACCCCCTTCCTGCCCAGGCCAATTTCCAGCTTTCAGCTCTGATGCACTTTGAATGACAATTGCGTGGTCATGCAACACTGTACCCATATGAAATTTTTATAATTTCTTTGTGACAGAGCTTTATTTTGGTGGTATTTCATCAAATCTGGGTTTTTTTATTTTTTCTTAAACCAAAAACCACTGAAAATTCTGGAAAAAGTTTTTTTTCTTCATTTTTGTTATAAAATTTTGCAAATAAGTGAATTTTCTCCGTCACTGATGTGCGCTAATGAGGCTGCACTGATGGACACTGATGAGGAGGCACTGGTAGATGGCACTGATGGGCATTGACAGGCATCACTGATGGGCACAAAGGCAGCACTGTTATATGGCACTGTTAGGTGGCACTGATTGGCATTGATAGGTGTCACTGACTGGCACTGATGGGTGACACTGAAAGGCAGCTCAGATGGGCACTGATATGTGGCATTGAGGTGCACTGGTAGGCACTGATATGTGGCATTGATGGGCACTGGCACATGGCACTGGTAAGCAATGACACAAGGCACTGATGGACACTGACAGGTGGCACTGCTGGGGCTACACTGATCATCAGGGCACACTGATCATCCGTGCCCTGATGATCAGTGTACATGTTCCCTCCGCGGAATGCCGATTACCGGCTCTCTTCTCAAGAGCTGTCAGCATGACAGCTCGAGATTAGAGAAATGCCGATAACCGGCATTTCCCTGTTTACATGTGATCAGCTGTGATTGGACACAGCTGATCACATGACCGAGCAGACATCTTTGGCTCTTTCCGTGGATCGGTGATCCGCTGTGTCTGAGGGACATATATGCACGTTTTTTGGCTTCAAGTATTGGTTTGAAGTTTTTTTATATCTATATATATCATTTTTTTTTTTTTTAGAGGACTTATCCTTTTTAAATTTCTGGCTTTTAATACCTGATCTAGAGAAAATAGGTAAATTAGGTCATTCAGGCCATCTATGTCAGCTTACTTAGTCCTTAACCTAGAAGAACAAGTTCAGTAAAAAAAAAATGAATGCATATATTTTTGCAGGAAATAATTGTGCATTTAGGCCTCATGCACACTGGATGTTTTTACAGCGGCTGTTTTTGGCTTCCAGCCAGTAAACTCCCCAGCATGTTATCCTATGTGTCCATGCACACTAAGGCTGGCCATACATTATACAATTTTCTTGAGATTTTGCTTTAGATTTACCAAAAACCATACTGTATAATAGGAGGTCAAACACAAACAACACTTTCAGTTGTATCCAATCAGGCAGGCCCTTGCACTACACAGTTGAAGGTAGATCTAAAGAAAATTGGACAGAAAATTGTATAGTGTATGGCCAGCCATAGGCTTTAATCAGTGTTTTTTGGCTGGGGTGTTTTCTGGCTGGAAAAAAGAAACAGAACTAGTGGGTTTTTAAGTGAAGTTTGTTAGCTGAAAAACGCAGCTATTCAGTCTTTATGAGTGTTTTTGAGCCTCAAGCTTCTGTGGGAATAGTTTTGCTAAAAGAAAAAAAAAAAAAAAAAAAAAAAAAAAAAAACCCGCAAAAGCTGAAAAATACTAATGCAAAAACACAAAACTTTTTTTTTTTTTTTTTTTGCTTTTAACATGGCATTCTACTGCTAACGTTACTGGTGTTTTATATAATGTTCAGTGTGCATGAGGCCTTTTTTTTTTTTTTTGACAGGAACATTTAAAGCAGTGGTCTCCAAATTGCTGCCCTCGGGCCAGATGCTGCCCAATGTTTGCCTTTATCTGGCCCTTGAGGCATTATTCCTGCCACCATCACCAACGATTGGGTGTAATTCCTTCAATTGACAAGAAAAACGGGGCACTATTCCTCCCACTGCCACCAACAATGGGGCATAATTCATTCCAATGTCACCAATGATTTCCCTGCAAATACCAAAGATGGGGCATTGTTTACTCTCACTGGGCACACTCTGGCCCCCCTAAAGTCTGAAGGACAGTAAACTGGCCCTTTCTTTAGAAAGTTTGGAGACCTCTGCTTTAAAGCATTGCACCTTTGATCAGGGTATTGTGGGTGCAATGCAAGCAGGGGCAGACTGACAACTCATGGGGCCCCCAGGCAATAGGGATCATGGGGCCCCTGTGTCCTTGCCCAAACTCAAAAAAGCCTATGAAAAAGGTACCAGGGGCATCTCATGGGGCCCCCTACTGACCCCGGGCCCTCAGGCAGTGCCCAAGTTTCCAAATGGTCAGTCTGCCCCTGAATGCAAGGCTCCTGCAGACTCTTCCTCCAGCTCTCAGCTCGTTCCTCTGTATAGGCTTTCAGTTGGAGAGGTGGAGAAAGTGTCATTGGACTACGAGTGTGCTGATCACCGCACTTGAATTTCATTGAGAATCAATAGTCCTTCTGCCACGACAAGAGATGGTACTCTGTGAATGAATGATTCAGCTGTGTGGGTGCGCCAGTTTCAGAGGAGAAGAACCCCCGCATGCTGTTATGAGGAGGTGGACTGAAATCAAAGTCAGCATAATAGCCAGGTACCTAGCAGAATGAGATCATTCCAGTCTCCATGTTTCACTCAGGAACAATTTTGTTTAACCTGCTCTAAAAGTGCATGAGATTATTGTGAAACCGCTTACTTAGATAAATCAAAGCAGGTGATGATCACAGGATAGCTGGTTATGTCATTTCAGCTGTACTGACCTCTGTTGTGTATACAAGAATTGTTTGCATCTGAACTGTCCCAATACAAGTCAATGTGAATGCAGTAGCAACTTGAAAGTTTTGTTTTTTTTTGTTCTTTTTTTTAATAAAAAAAAACACACAATGGAAAAAGTGCACTGCTTTCTGGCTTGCTGCTGCATCTGACACCAGTGCATATGAACTGTTATGTTGGCCTGACCGCCTCTCATATTCAAGTAAAAATCTGCAAGTGAGGCTGCATTCACTCTTTAGTGTTTCATGAATACATGCCATGTATCATGATTCTGCATGCATTTACAAAGCATGCAAAAAACATGTTGCACTGGTAGTGCCGATCATTGCTAATGGCACCCCAAACGCAACAAGCAGACATGTTTTTTTGCATGAAAAAAGCGAGTGGATAAAAAAAAATGTATAAAGCATTTAAAGGTACAGCGTCCCAAGGCAGGAGCGCCGCACCGGGTGACACCTATCGCACGGGGTGGCACCAGACCCACACCACGAAAAGGTAAGTTGTAAAGCAAGCTGACAATCCCCGCAGGATGGATCCAATCCATCCTGCGGGGATTGTCAGCTTTCTTTACAACTTACCTTTTCGTAGAGCGGGTCCAGTGTCACCCCGTATAGGTTGCATGCCGACGATCCCCGCAGGATGGTTCGGATCTGTGGATTGGGGAGCATAATGGATCGGACTCCGATTGATGATGCTCAATCCGCAGATCTGATCCATTCTGCGGGGATCCTCGGAGGGGGTGTCACAAGTGTTATCGCACCGGGTGACACCAATCTTAGGGACGCCCCTGCAAAGGTACACAAGCTATTTTGACGTGTTTGTTGCACATAGGGCAGCCTATTGAAATGAATTGATCCTTATGCCTGTAGCAAAACAATGCGCAACTAAAAACACAATAATGTGCATATGTGTGACAACAAAAAGCCAAGGAATATAGGTATAGTTAAAGAGTTCATAAGTAAAATAGCTACTTGAAACAATAACAAGCCAGCCAAATCCAGTGCTCATAGACTACAATGGAAAGAAATAGGTATAAAAAAATAAAAATTATATAAATAAATATAAACAGTGCAAAATATATTATAGTCCATAAATGGATCCGCATCAGCGTGCGGCAGCTGAATCACTATGGAGTGAAACATAAACAATTCCGGCAGCACCTCGCCAAGGGTATGGGGAATCCCTCATGGAGATGCAAAAGAAAAGAGCAGGGCGCCAGATGAATGTGTGATAAAAACAAAACATTAATGTAGCACACTTACATCAGAGCAACCTATGAACAGCTCAGTGGATCAAGATGGCGTGCAAATAGAGCTCTCTCCCATGAGGATGGATCACAGACCACACCAACGAGCGGACCCTTGTCTGAGTCTCACATGTCCATCCATTCTCATGGGAGAGAGCTGTATTTGCACGCCATCTTGTAAGTGTGCTACATTAAAGTATTGTTTTTATCACGCATTCATCTGGTGCCCTGCTCTTTTTTTTTTTTTTGCATAGTTAGAGTTCACCTTTTCAAAAAAAATGAAAAAGTGAACTAACACTTTAAACCCCCACTTTGCCCAACCTCCCTACCCTGCTCTCCACTGTACATACCTCCATGGCTGACACCATTTTGTCATTCATACAGCCCACTGCAGCAGTCCTGGGATAAAAACCATCAGTGTTCTTACCCTAGGGATGCTGGGATGAATCAGAGTGGTTCTGATTGGTCAGCATGGTCACATGCCCATCCCAGCACCCCTAGGAAAAGAAGAGGAAGAACAGTGCAGTTGTGAAGCACCAAGAATGCTGCACCAGGCTGTATAGATGGTGAAACATCTCACCTACGGAGGTAAGTGGAGTGGGGGTGTAGGAGGTTGATTCATCTTTTAATTTTTTCTGAAAAGATCAATTGACACTTTTGTGTATCCATTTAATAAATATATAAGGGCTTCACCAATCCTCTGGAGCTCCCTACCCCAATCTATCAGGCTATCGCCTACTCTGCTCACTTTTAGGCGCACTCTGAAAACCCATCTCTTCAGGGAAGCTTACCTCGACCCCAGCTAATACTGAAATCCTCTACTCTTCCTACCACTCCATCCCCCACAGCTAATTACCTCTTGTACCACTATCCCCTCCCTCTTAGATTGTAAGCTCCAAGGAGCAGGGCCCTCTAATCCCTCTTGTATTGAACTGTATTGTTACTGTACTGTCTCCCTCCATAATGTAAAGCGCTGAGCAAACTGTGGGCTCTTTATAGGTCCTGTTCTATAATAATAATAATAATAATAAAAAACAACCTTTTCCCCTTTTTATAAGTGATCACATTCTCTCTGTTTTAGGCTGCATAAGGATCTTAGAGAGCTGGGGAAGGAGAAACAGTAGCACACTAATCTTCCCAGTGAATGGCTATGCAGAGTGTGGAGGGAGTGTCAGCACAAGTCTAATCACTGGAGGAAAGCAGGTTAAGTTCCAGCACAGCCAGAAAACTTGATACACTGTGCTCTCATGCCTAGAGTAATCAGTTTTTAATAGGAAAGCAGAGGGACTGGCAGGAACACCAGGGTTTTCACTAATCTTCCCGTGAATGGCTATGCAGAGTGGAGGGAGTGTCAGTACAAGGCTAATCACTGGAGGAGAGCAGGTTGAGTTCAGCCAGAAAACTTGCCACACTGTGCTCTCATGCCTAGTCTGGTCAGTTTTTTAATAGGAAAGCAGAGGGACTGGCAGAAACACCAGTTTTTTCACACAAAGGAAGCAATACAAAGAGAACAGGCTACCTTGTCATACAAGTGCATGGTACAGCAGGCACATGTCAGTGATATGAAATGTTGGGTAACATCCTATAATTTCAACAAATAACACACATAAGTAGTATCCAAAAATGGTAGCAGCAATAAACTCCAGCCCTTTGATGGCTTGACAATTCCATTGAGAGCACAAGCAACTGTGACCGTAATTCACGGCATGCCTTGAATGGAACTGTTTTGGACCGTTGAATCAATGGATTTAGTTCTGCTTTAACACATGTGCAACACACGTTATGGCTCGCTCACACTATCTGGGGTATTCAATAAATCTATGACAGTTTTCTGGTGGGATGTCC